AGGGCAGGCTGGAGAGAAGCAGCGTGGGAGCCCAGGTGCACTCCTCCCAACATCAAGGTTGGGCTCTGAACTGGGGAGCCTTCCCTGCCTCCCTGTCTCCACGGGAAAAGGAAGCTCCCCCACTGCGCCCAGAAGAAGAAGATTAAAGTGGACCTGCTCCTTCAGTTAAGGCAAGCTCCCCCAGGAAACCCCAGGGTCCTCTGGCACAGGTGTCTGCAGCCAGTGCACGCTGGGCACCTGCCAAAGAACTCTCCCCTTGACTGATCATCCAGGCATCCACCGCCCCAGAGGCCACCCAGGGTCACTGTGTAAAATACCACGTTGAGCCGCTCATCACCCTGACCACATACGTGTAGCTGTCCGTGCAACCAGTGCACCCATCTGTCCTGTTACCACTACCAGCCAGCATTTTCCTCTCCCCGAAAGGCGGCAGCAGCCTTGCGCCCGATCTCGGCCCCGGCCCCATCATGAGCACCATACAGCGGCAGAGCAAGGAAGTCCCCACCACCCCCTCGAGAGCCACACTTGACCATGACTCTTAGGGACGTCTGTCTGTCTCCTCACTGCCTGATCCAGTGGTGCAGAACTTGGCCACCATGCAGCCCGGTGTCCAGAGGTGCCACAGCCAGACTCTGCTAAGAGAGGCCTGGGGGGGGGCGTGGGGGGGGGCAAGTGTACAGGTGCTGCAGTGCGAAGAACCTGGCATGCCCTGCCTCCACCCGCTGGCAGGCGGGGCCTCGCTGCCATGTGTGACCGAGGGGGCAGTCCATCTCATCTGGCCGGCAGTCTTCGCGTGCGTCACCCGGCGTCTAGGCCAACCCGACAGCCTCACTCTTTCCAGGACAGAGCGTGTTTCATCTGCAAGCCTCTCCTTTCTCGGGGTGAGTTCATGACCTGGGGCACCGCACACACCAGAAGCAGGCAAACCGCCTGAGCTGCCGTGCCCGGGTGTGCACAGGTGAGCCGGCCCTCGCCCCAGACGTGAGGCTGGCATTCAGAACGCTCATTCAATGAGATACAGGCGGTCCTAAGGAAGCTCGCTTGTGGTCACCAGGGGTGGCGTCCCCCTCTACTACTGCCCACCCACCCACCGCCAGCTGGGCTGTGAGCACAAACCCCTGGCAGGAGGGGGCTCCAGGCTGCTGCTTCCCACAGGAAGAAGCGGCTGACTCCTGTTACTGTCACCGCCCATCCACACCAGATGGGTCCACATGCAGCCAAATGGCTGTCCTTAAAGCAGAATAGGGTGCCCCCACCCCCATTGCTTGATTTGAGGCCCAAGTGACCATGGGCAGAGCCAGGGCTGCACATTCCAAAGACAGGTGTTTCTGAGGTTGACCCCGATGACAGGGGGCTCAGAGAGGCCCTTCCTGGAGGGACACTGCCGTACAGACACGTGGAGTCAAGCACTCATTCAGAATTCCATCTGAATCTTCAGACTCTAGCAGAGCTAACAAGCTGGCTTCCCGGGTCACTGGCTCTTCTATAGCACAGCTTTGCACACAGCCAAGAGCCGGGTTCCCTCAAACCCGTCCGTACTGTCTGCTACCAGTGATCTCCTTCCTTGACATCAGGGATGGGGAGGGGGTCCCCATTCCCCCCAGTGACCGCTGGCCTCCAATCCCCTGCCCAGGCTGATGGACAGGCGAAGGACCAGGCAAACCAGCAAGCAGATGAAGACCCCTCCCAACCTAGAAACCCGGATAGAGACCGCTAACTGACATGTTATAGACCTCAGTGGGCGTCCTCAGAGCAAAGCCCGTCCAGAGCCACCAGTGACCCTCCCTGGGCCAGTGCATTGGCATCCCAGCAACCACCAGCGCCCATGTGTCACGGCTCTCTAAAGACAGCCGACCTGATTCAGAACTGCCCCACCAATTGTCACCCCTGCCCAGCCCAGAACCTCACTGGGGCTGCTCCGCCATCCCCCCCAAGCCTGCCGTGGACACCTGCGTGCTCGCGCGTCTGCGCCCGGGAGTGCCTCTGTGTGCGCGTGTGCCGGGGCTCATCCATCTGTCTCAGAGAGCTGGCTGTCAGAATCTCCTGGAGCCCGGTCACTGCCTTCTAAAAACGTCTTCCCATCTGAGGGAACGTGCCGGCAAGGGGTGTGGCCCAGCGTGCCTTGGGGGTGGGGGGGCTCTTGAGGCTGGAATTATTCCAGCTGCTACCTCAGCAGTGCTGCTCCCCTACCGGGCAGCCCCCTCCCCACTCCTCCCTGCCCCCTTTCTGAGGACCAGGGCTGCAGTCACCAGGGCGTTTCTGGAGGACATTCTAAAGCCCCTGCCCCCGCCACGGAGGCCTAGCATTTTCACATTAGCTTTTTTCCCCTTCCCTTCTTCCTTTGCCAAAAGCATCAAGCCCTGGCTGTGCTGCCCGCAGTCCTCCCTCCCTGCACTGAGGCCCATTCATGAGGGCCCTCTCAGTCAGGGCAGGACAGGAAGGAAACCAGCACACGGGCCTGTGAAAGAGACACTCAGAGCAGTTGTTTCGGGGGGGCGGCTGGGGGGACCTTTCCCTGCACTCCACCTTGAGGCCCCGCTGCAGACTGGGCCCTGCTCCTACCCTCCGGTGCTTGGCTAACACGCCCCACCTCTTCCAGCCCTGCCCTCCTCCTTCGGTGACCGTAACCCTCTTGGGGGTCCCTGGCCTCATCCTCAGTGAGGCAGACACACCCAGCCTTCCCCACACCCCTCCATGATCAACTTCTAGAAAGGAGGTGGTTCGGGCTTTCTCTACTCTGGGCTTTCAGGGGGCATTCTTGCTTCAAAGGCGATGCACCTGGTTTTCTGGGTGCCCATCCTGCCTGCCCCCTTCCAGCACCCCCAAACCCAGTGACATCCACCCACCCCACGGTGTCTAACTCTCCCGCCCCAGCCCCTTCCCCCACCGCGCGGCGGGGCATGAGCCCACTGCTCCACTGCAAACAGAAAAGAGGAGCTAACTTTGAAGCCCTGGGAATTAGTAAATCAAGAGCGAAAATTCAAAACAAATGCTCTTTCATGTGGACGCTCTGGAGTTTTCCCCCCTGCTTTTTTGTGCAGTTTTGTTTAAATCCTTTCAGACACACCACCTCCCCCCTCCTCGTAACCCCTCATTAATCTAAGAGGCTGCAGTTACCTGGCTTGGGGGGGGGGGGGAAGAACAGTTCTTAATGGCCTCACTCCCCATTTTCTTTCTAGAAACAATTTTGGGAAAGGAAAGCCCACCCATCCCCCAAACGACTGAGTGGGTCCAGGCATTTCTCTCTCTGTATCTGTCTGTCTTGTCTGTCTGTCTGAGGGAGGCTGGCTGAGGAGGGGCTGGTTCAGACAGCGGATGAGCTCCTCCATCTGCAGGAAGTGGCAGGCACGATGTTATCCGGAAGACAGGCCTTGGGGAAAAGTGCCCTTTTCCAAAAAGACCCATTTCCTTGCTTATTTCATGTAGTTCCGAGGGGGCTGGAGCCCCTCCCAGCACCTCCAAGATTGAAAAACCACACCCGTCCAGCAGCCTTAAGGACAGACCCTTTCCCCCTTTCTCCACCCTCTGGTCTTTCCGGACCACTCAGTCAGCCTTGAAGAGCGCGGACAAGACTCCAGGCACAGCCGCTGCTGCAAGCTCCCACCACAGCTGCCCCCAGCCTGCGTACCCCACCCCATCTTTCCCCTGCTTGATTCTCATTAAAACAGTGCTTCTCAACCTTCCTAATGCCGCAACCCTTTAATACAGTTCCTCAGGTTGTGGTGAACGCCCCCCAACCATAAAATTATTTTCGTTGCTACTTCTTCATAACTGTCATTTTGCTACTGTTAGGAATTGGGCGACCCCTGTGAAAGTTCGAGACCCAAAGGGGTGGAGAACGGCTGCATTAGAAGCTTGGAACAAACAGCACCCTCTCTCAGGTAGCAGCCAGTCTACACTGCACTGAGATCCAAACAACAAGCATCTCCGGACAAGCATTCTCCCTCTGCCTGCTCCTTTCGCCATGCTTGACCAGAGTCTCAAAGAGGCCAACCAGTCTCAGCTCCTGCACCTGGGCTGCCACCGTGGGCCCCACCAATGTCCAACAGTAAAAAACCAGGCATCTGAAAATATTACAGAAGTCCCCCCCCCACCCCCGTACCCCTTTTTAAAAAAAATATAAACGTCATTCCCTCTTGCTGAAATGCATTCCTAGAAAACACAGGGCATGATGAGGGCAACACACGTACAAACGTGCTTGATACAATGGATGGATGGATTGTGATTGAGAGTTGTACGAGTCCCCAGTAAATGATTTTTTTAAAAAGCACACACAGGGCTGGCATCCTGGAGGGGCAGGGAAGCTCATGCGGAAGTGGTCTTTGGGGAAAAATGCAACGCCTCCCACTTCTGCAGGCAGTGAGGTTCTCTGAGAAACTGCCAGTGTCGAAGGGCAGGCACCAAGGCCCCGTTACACACCTGCCCTCACCTGACGCCGAAACCCTCCAGGGCAGCACTGGCTTTCCAGGTCCAAAGCTCTAGTTATCCGTCCCAGAACCTTATGTACGGGTAACCTACCCTCCCTTCCTTCCATCTAGGTGGGACCAGTTACACCTCCAGTTGCTGGCACTGCCCACCAGCCTGCCGCCCGACTCTGGAGGGCACGCAAAGAAGCTGAAAGGCCAAGTTTGTGAACCGCCCCCTCCGGTGCCTGGGACCTGCATTCAACAGGTTCTCAAAAGGCCAGCAGCCAGCCCCTTCGAGGCACCCCATGCGCCCACACCAGGTGCCTCTCAAAAACCACCACCAGGCTCCCCAGGGCACACTTCTCGCCCACCTGTGGACCCGACCCCAGTCCTCACTGAAGGAACAAGATGAGACAAGCCGAAGGACAGGGGCATCAAGTCACCAAGGGTCTGTCCAATCGGGCACACAGCGGGCACACAGCAAGGGAACCCCGCAGTGTGTCGCCCCGTCCACCAGCCCCACACCGCCCCCTCACGAAGAGTGCAAAAGCCAGAGGGCAAAGCCCTCAAAACAAAGAGGACCGTCTTTCTTACCTGACAGCCCCCCAGGGGCCAGATAATTCGTTCCCCCTGGTTCACCGGAGGAAGGCACAGCAACTGGACAGTCCGCTGCGGGTTTGAGAGGGAGAGGCAGGTCAACCCGTGTGGAAGTAAGTAAATCACACATAAAAGCAGAGTGATGGGTCTTGAAGCACATCCTAGCAGCAGTCAAGGAGAGCCACACATTCCCCGGGGCTGACTCGCCGCCACGAGGCCGATTACTAATGGTGTGCTCAGGCTTTGCTGCCCATCATAAGACAGACCACAGCACCTTGTCACCCGTCTGGGCTCCGGCGGCCAGTTAATCATTAGTCCAGCCCGTCTCCATCACAGACTGGCTGGAATGCTGCTCTTATTACAAGTTCCCCCCCATGGAAGAAAACAGGTAGTTCCCAAGGTCAAAGTGAGTTTCAGCTCTCCTTTCTCAAGCCTGGCTGTGCTGTCTGCACTGCCCCCAGTTCCCACCCCCCACATACACATCTTTTACCAGAAAAAATAAAGGGCAAGGCTTGCTGAAGACTCAAGAGGTCTCACTCAGGCGTCCCAGTTCCTTAAGGCTACTGGTGGCTATGGGGATTGCTTGATCCTTTGTATGGGTAGTGGAGCCTGAAGTGCAGGGAAGTACTCCAACATCAAGCCTCCGAGCGGATTTTACCCAGGTGGACATAAGGAGCACCCCACTCAGAACTTAAAGGTCTGTAGCTTGAACCCACCAGCTGCTCCCCTCCGGGGGGAGAAGCAGCCTGGCAGTCTGGGCCAGTCTGACAGTAACGTAGGGAATCTTAGGGGGCAGTTCTACCCTGCCACCCAAGGATGCTAAGAGCTGGAATCAGCTCAACAAGCGTGCTACAGGCGAGACAGGCACTTATGTAAGGCTCCTTCCTGGGCGGTGGCAAAAGGCTTGTGTGCCCAACTCCACTATTAACCTAGAGGTTTGCAGACAGAGCCCACCCAGCTGTGCCACAGAAGGCCTGGCTGGCTATCTTGTGTCCAAAGAGGACCACCAAGAAAACCCCACAGAGCAGTACCACTCTGTAACAGAGCCAGCATGTCAGCAAGAAGTTGAGTTGTCTGTCTACATCTCTCTCTCTCTACACACACACACACACACACACACACACACACACAAACTTCAGAGTTCATAGGGAAAGTTCATCTCCCTTCATCCCATTTCCCTACCAATTTTCATACACACCCTTGTGTAAGCGCCACACCAAATCAAGGCAGAGAACATTCTCAGCAAGGTTCCAAGTCAGAAGAAAAGCAGTCAGCCAGCCCCCTCCAAGGTTGAGCCCAACCCCCCACCCCAATCCTGGAAGCTTTCCCAGACAACCCTGGCCCTGCGAGGCTCCCTGCCCTCTCCACCCTGTGAAGGCTTTCTGGCACCAACACTGGGTGGCTGCTTCCACTCAGATCCTTTCTGCCCTGACTCCACTACAAGCTTCTCTCAGGAGGGAGAGAGGCTCCCTGTCACCCTCAGGTGCTCAACCAAGGGGCCGGGAACGTCCACTCTGATCATGTCCACTGCAGCTGAGACGTAAGACTGCATACCTCACCCTCCCCACAACGTACTTCAATGACCCCTGACCTACGACGACTCACTCCCAGGAGACAGAAGATCACACCGGCCCCCATCAACTCATCACTCACTGACAGTCCGTACAGAAAGCCTGGCTCCGGAAAGGTGTGCGCCAGCTCTGAAGCAAACCCACAACTTCAATCCAGCCAAGTGTCCACCTCTCCAGGAAGACTCGATCCAGTCCTCCTACCCCAGCCCCAAACCACAAGTCCTGGGAATGCTATGAACAGTTTCTAGTTGGGACTACCTGGCCACACCAAAGACCAGCCCTGAGGGAAGTAAGCGTCTGGGTGCCCACCCACTCCGGTGGACCCAGTTTCCTGATAAAGGGGATAAGGGAAGATCATCTAAACCAGCCTACAGAAAGCCAGAAAGCCCTCCAGGGCCACTGCTGCCCCCTTAACCCCGAGTGTCTCTCAATAACCAGGGCTCCTCCCTGTCCCGATTCTCTAAAATTCTTCCCCCAGGCAGGACAATGTTCCTGAACAGTATCACTGCGGAGGGCTGGGGGAGGTGGGGGGGTGGCGGCAGTAGGCAGGGGGGAGAGGGGAGACTATGTAATCTCATGTTATCAGGGTAAAGTATAATTCCTAACAGGAATATACAGCTTTACAGGATACACTCAATCAAATAGAAAACAATAGGGGGAGGCAGGAAATGGAGTCCCTTGTTAGGTGGTGTGCACCCTGCACTTTCTAAACTACTTTGAAGGCCCTCGGAGCGCGCCTGATAGGCTTTCTCAACCCTGTGTCCTCCACCCATCACCCCCAAACGGAAGACACCCCCATATTAAACACGATGACTTATCCACGGCCACGCCCCACCGGGCCTGGGTGCTGGCGGGTGGAATCCCAGGGGCAAGGTGTGTTTCAAAGGACAGGCCTGGCATCCTGGGCAGAGCAGGGGCCCACATTCAGGGTGTCAGCAGCCACACATCAAAGGCAGCCCGCTCTGCACCAGCGACCACAAGTGTGTTTATGAAATGGTGCTCTGCCCTGCTCTACAGAGCCTTTGATCTCGGGAGGGATTTACAAACGTTAATTAGGCCGCCCTACCACCCTTGTGAAGTAGCAAAGTATACCTGTTCGGCATGCATCCAGGTAAACTGAGGCGTCCCTGCCTAGCCCAAGGGGCCACCCAGTAGGTTGGGCTACACCCCACGGAGCTCCTTATCCTATAGCTCTTCCTCCTCAGCCTTGCCAGAAGCGTCCCAGGCCTTCCTCCTGGGCTAGGCCTAGGCACCTGCATTGGCCTCTAGCTCCAGATGGGCCACACCTCCGGCCCGCTCCCAGATTCCCCACAGGTAGGAGACACCTACGGCTAGGGTCTCAACTTGGCTCATTGATTCTGAGACTCCAGCCATCCCTCTCTTCCACCCTCCACTGTCCCCCACATGGTCCAGTGCTCTAGGTTCTGTTTGGGGGGAGGGGGGATTTGAGGAGGACCTCTTTCCACCCAGCAGCCTCACCCTCACCCAAACCTAGCCCACCCACTGCTGTTGAGACTTCAACTCATGCTGACCCCCGCCGTGTGTCCAGCAGAGCGCTTGCCCACTGGGTCCTCTGCTGTCATCTTGACAGAAGCCACAGCACCACAACTCAGGGACCAACACAGCTCCAGCAAAGTCCTCCAAAACCCAAGTTTGGGAAGCAACAGACGAATGAACTGCTAAGAATGAGCATCAGCTAAGCACTGACCCATATCCCAGAGAGAGCGCCAGGTTTACTCCCCTCATATTCTAGGCTTCCCAAGTACAAGTCTGAGGCAAAAGTGCCACGTCCCCATCACCAACAGACCAGCCCGCCAAGTGTCCCAAAAGTACATCATCCAATCCAGAAGGCAATGAACCCTGGGGACAGAGGAGCAATGCACTGCATGGGACCTGTCCGATTCTAAGGGGAGCCCATCATTCTGGCTGTAGGACAATTGGATGAACCAATGAATGAATGAATCATCTAGTCTAGCACATCCCGTCTGATCTGGATTGAAACCCAGACCTGACAAAATCACTGGGGTTACAGGATCAGGGAAGAGTCAGGCTTCAAAAGGGGACAAGCATCCACCAGGGTGCCCTAGCACCCACAAGCTGAGCTCACCCAACAACACCCCCAGACCGTTCTTCTAAGCTATCAGACCACCAGATCCAGACAGAGGGCACAGACATACCCAGCAACCGCCACCCCCACCCCCCAACATCATTCCCACTACACAAACTGCAATTTGCTGTTGGAGGGCATGTTCTTATTCCTTACACTATAAGCCTTATAGAATGGGGGTCCTGGGTTGAGTCCGTCACAAGGCACCTTGCCCCCTCAATTCAGGTGTGAATCCCATCCCAGAGGACCCAGCACCCAAGTGTGCAAACACAAGTCCTGCCAAAGGCTGCAGGGTACCAGGCCCCAGACCCCTTCACAATCGCCCCTTTCCCCCCACCGGTGAGTTCGCAAAGGGACCGCTTAGTTGAACAACTAGTTAAGAGTTTAACAGATGTCCACTGGTAAGCCTCAGATAAGCCTGGTTCTCAACTGGTAAGCCAAGACCAAAAACCCAACCTACTCTTAGAAACTTTAGCATGCCAGTGCTCAGCCCCAAACTCTTCCATATACAAGGTGGGGACGAAAACCTGGGGAGCACCCCCACCCAGCCCTGGACTGTTGCCCCTTCACCCCACTCGGCCAGCCCCCAATCTGGCAGCTCTCCAATGCACCAGAGCAATCTCTTTCATGGGGGTTTCTTTCTTTCCTCTTTTTTTTTTCCGCTTTGTTTAAACAAAACGTTTTGGGTGAGTAACCAGCTGTTTGCATTTCCCATTGGCAGGTTAATCACTTCCTATTGGCCGGGCCTGGAGGACTCCCCACCCCCCAAATGGCACATTCCTGTCTTTGTGGCTTCTCTGTTTACACACATTTTGCTACCTAATGTCAACACTTGCTAATGAATAAATCTATCACTCCACTCTCCGAAAATGAGGTTCTGGCCTGGCAGAATGACTTCCTAAATCCTGCTAATAGCTTTAAACCCCACATCTATCTTTGCTAGAAACCCAAGAGAGGCCCTTCTTGTCTGGAACTTGAGGCTGTGGCTGGGGACACAACCTCTACCCGCCGTCGCTCTTTTCCCAACCGAAGGAAACCCTTCACATTTTAAAGATGACAGAAGCCAAAGCCAGCACAGGACAAGAGGTCACCTCTTGGAGCATGAAAAGCTTTGAGTCCCATTTAAGCCAAGACACCCAGTCGGGTTACATACAGTCTTTGGAAAAACAAGAGCTTGATGATCTGCTATCACTTGTTAACCAGACAGAGAGCTGGTTTATCACCTCATTAATGACCGTTTATCTGCTGTTTTGTAAACTGGAGCAAACTATCACGTGTTTTGCAGGCCACTATTAGACACAGGCGGAGGGGCAGGCTGCATTGCCTTCCCAACGTGAGGGAGCTGGCCTGGGAGAGCTGGTTGTGGAGAATAGGTTACACCGTTCATTAAAGTATTTAATTTATGACAACGCCCCGGCAAGACTTTTAATTAGTGGGGGGAAAGGCGCAACCAGCCAAAACTCAAGAGGGCAGAGGAGTTTGGGGGGGGGGGGACACGGGAACTGCACTAAATGGTGCCAACAACCCTTCACTTCTCTTTCTCCCAGAAACATTGGGGAAACAAAAATCCTCACCAGTCAGCTTTGCCATTCTCTGGGCCCCAGAGGCGAAAGTTACAATCCTTACTTTGAGCAAAGGAGTCTCCCCAGGCTAGGAAGGGGGTTTTGGAAACGGGGGCTCCCCATCCGCTGATGACACCACCTCCACCTCCACCCCCACCCCCACTGTTTAATGGAGGGAGAAGCAGCCAACCCAAAGGTGAACTCGGGGCGGAGCTGATGCCAGTTCTCCACTGGGTGCTTCTGCTCCAGCCCCCCCCCCCCACCATCCGGTTACAGAAACAGGCGGGCAGAGTTTCCCTAAAACTTTTATGGCCCCAACCAAGAATTCCGGGGACCCTATAACACTACCTTAGAGGGAAGTTAGGTGGGAAGGCGGCTATCCATTTTACTCCTACAATACTCCAGAAAGCCTTTCCATCCATCCACATTACCCTGCTTCCCTCACCTCCCCCTCCCCCAGCCACACTCAGGAGTTGAAACTCCCACCCACTTCTCCTTGGCCCCCAAGACAACTGCTTGTGAATCAAAGGTCCCCCGTGCTAAGGCTGAGCCCATCTCGGTCAGGGGGGTGCAAACACACAAGAAGGGTACTAGGAAACAACTTTGGGTTTAAAAAAAAAAAAAGCAACAGCCACGAATAAGAACCAAAAAAAAGCCTCTTGAGAAAAAGCCACCCAACTTTCAAAGGGGGTAGGAGAAGAGCACCACCCTGCCCCACACAGCTGCCCAGAAAGGAAAACCGCCCATTCGACAAGCTTGGGGTTCACGTCAGAGCAGGAGGGTACTTTGAAACGCATCGACTCACCAGTTGGTTTGAGAAAATCCATCGGGTATCTGGAGTAAGGAGGAGGGGGAGACTCTGGAATTTAAAAAGTGAGAGAAAATAAAGGCCGCGCCATGGGAGAGAGAGATAGAAACTTAAGATAACAGAGGCATTCTTCGAGCCCAACTGTTTGTCTTAGCTGTGGGGGTTGGAGGCAGGGCCGCGAGGCGGTGATTGCCTTGATATTTAGCTGTCAGATAAACAAAAGAGGCCGCCTGGCGCCAGCCGCCGCGCTCCGCTCCTCCACGTCTGCGGCGGCCGCCGCCACCGCCACCGCGCGCGGCCGGCCGGCTGGGAAACCACCGGCTGGGCCGCGGGGCGACAGGGCCCCCTTCCCCGCGCCCCCACTCGGGATCAATGGCCCCCCCGCCCGACGTACCAGGCCCAGCCCACCCGGAAGCCCCCCCCCAAAAAAAAGTGTCCCGGTGAACTTGGGGGGGGGGGCCTGCAGACACTGGGCTCCACTGGTCGGGGTGCACCGCCCCCCGCCGGAGTGGAAAGGCATGTTGGAGGCCCGGAGGACTAAAAGAGGGCCGCTGGGGCAGACGCGTCTACAGACGTTCTGTGCTTGCTTTTCGGGTAGGAAGGGTAAAGTGGGGAGAACCAACTTCGCCTGACTGCTTGTTCGGTTTCGGCCCCGGGCTGGCCGAGTGGGGGGAAGAGGTACCAAGTTCGTCCCCCAGCCTAACCACCTTGGCTTTCACAGTCCCAAACGGTGCGCCCAGGGCAGCCTGGGGGCCACTCGTGCCGCCCTGACGCTGTGCTAAGGGAAGAGATACTGTAGCCTCCCCGCTCCCAGCCTTCCTTGGCGGGCTTGGCCCTCGTCCAACTCGGCCACTCACCTCCACGCCTTTCCGGGTATGGGAGAGGCGTGACACCCCGCCTTCTCCGCTGCCCCTCGCAGATGCTTAAACGAGGATGCCTCATGTCCACCCTTCTGTCTAGTTCGTGTGCACGAGCCAGGCCACACACAGCCCCCCCACCACCACAGGCCCCCTCAGGGCATCAAGGTATAGCCCAGAAGGGAAGCCCCAGGGAATGAATGTCCCTGTCCCGTCTCTGCCCGCCTTCCAAGTCTCTTCCCAAGAGGGGGTGCACACTGGGAAAGGGCTGCACAGAGACAGCGCGCGAGAGGGGAGGTCTTTCCTATTGCTACCTGGGCGCGCGGGGTGGGGGTGGGGGGGTCCTGGGGAGGGTGGTCGCAGAACTTCTTACCTAGTTCGCAGAGTCGGCTAAGGTGATGGGGGTTGCAGCACACCAGCTCCGGGTTGATCTTCCCGTAAGATTCACAGCAACACAGCCTCTTGACTTCCGAGGAATGCCTGAGATCCGGCCACCTGAACACTTTGCACAGCAGGAGGGGGAGCGAGTAGGCCGAGGGCGGCTGCGCGCCGGCGGGCGCCCCCGGGCCCAGCCTGCAGTCCAGGCGGCAGGGCAGCAGGAGGCACGCGGTGCGGGTCCCGCCGCGGGACTCCACGGCCTGGAGCAGCAGCTCCAGCTGCCGCTCCTTCAGTTTCTTGAGCACCGAGTGCGTGAGCGCCTTCAGATCCGCCTCGGTGCCCCCGGTCGCGCCGGCCCCGGCGGCGGGGGGGTGGGGATGGTGGTGACCTTTGGCACCTCGGACCGCCTTGCCCATGCAGCAACCAGCTCTGCTCGCGCCGCCGCCGGCCCCATGCGCTCGGCCGGCCGTCGCCCCTTCCCCCCGCGGCTCGCCGCCGCCTCCCCCCGCGCCCTCCTCCTCGTCCTCGCCGCCGGGCGCGCGGCTCCTCCAGAGACGCCGGACGAGCGCAGATCGTTTGGTCCTGAACATGCGGGGCGAGGAGGCGAGGAGAAAAGTCGTTTGCCGGCTAAGGAGCGAACATGACCGGCGCACACCATGAAGAAGTCGGACGCCGAGTTGGGGCAGCAGGCGCAAGCGACAGCAGCAGCAGCAGCAGGGGCCCGGGCAGGAGCGGAGGCGGCCCGAGGGGCGCTCCGTGGC